TATATATTTACTTTTCTTTATAAAGGTATCTCCAGAATAGGAGCTGTTTCAGAAAAAAGGAGAAAGTGAAGGTAAGCATATGCAAGCACTTTCACCCACTCCCATGGTATAAATATTGTAATATTTAAATCCTTAATGGGATGATTTTATAGTGAACAAACCCAAGATACATCTCTGTTCGATAGATCAGAGTTTTAAAACTTTTAAAATACACAACACAGAAGACAGACCTTACCTTTAAGCTTATTGTGTTCAGAGTCAGCTGGGAAAAGGACATCTGGAAAGAGTTTTTCAAAACTATATCCAGCATATTTAGGTCTGTTCTCCACATAAGTCCGGACTGTAGGCTGTAATTTCTTCATAAATTCGGGGCATGGTGTTCCTAGCTGCTCTATAACTTTATTCCATTGATCAATATCTAAGGTTATGCAGCTAAGAAAAACACTGTCTAATTTTCAGCTAGAAAGTTATGTTAAAACCACATAAAATAACCAACAGAGAGAAAACAGAAAATTATAATGAAATACCAAGTTCATCATCATTAATCAGGACTACCTTCTTAGAGAAAACAGTGAAACAAAGCAAGACTATGACAGAGTAAGTCAAGACAACATGTACTTTACTCAAGATCGTAATTAACTAGCAAAGGATATACTTTTGAGAAACAGAGATAATTAAAAGTCTCACAAAATGTATTAAGCAAATTTAAATAAAGACATTATTTGGGTTCTGGAGAAGAACTCACTTCCTGATCCGAACACGTATTCACAGTAGTCAATCTACTACGCATCACCAAGGCACTCCTGACAATTACCCCATGTAGGTGCTTTGTCCTTCGTTCTCATCTCGACACCTCAGCCCAGTCCTGGACTCTCCCAAGTTAGCGAGCTCTCACTAACGACATGCAACGCTGAGCAACACTGGGCACACAAAGGACGAAATCTTGGCCCACACAGGTCACTGATAATTTTATCAGAGACTTGAATGCAAAACTTAAAAAAAAAACCCCAACTTAAAAAAGAGTTTCAAGGACATGTAAGGAACATCTTAATTGAAAAGTTTACACAAGTTAAAGGGGAGATTGACCAGTTCACGGCAGAAGAATTTAATGCATGTTACTGAATAAAACCCCCAACATTTGTCTCAGGAATTCCTAGTTGCAGATGGTTAGATACTGGAAGAGAGCTCAGGTAAAATTTTATATATGCTTATCTCATTCATATCTTCTCCCCAACTTTTTCTTTCTGGCTACCATCAAAGACTGGATACTGGGCTACCTAAACCTTCAGTTGGGTGTAGCAGGCCCCCTCTTACATTCTTAAAACTCAACAGCGACCTTTATATAAGGATTTTCAAGCTCTATAGTGCTTTAGCTTTAGCCTTGAAAAAAATATTTACATTGTATGGCACTGAGCCTAAACTGAAAGCCATGCTAGCAAGCTATGCTAGCAAGCTAAGCATGGTGCATCTCATACAATGACAGAGCCCTGTGAAAGTAAGGATGCCCTGGATCTCCTCGCTGTGCCTTAAAATCTTCATCCCTAAATGGTACTGTACCAATTATTAAACAGTTAACCTGCAGCAAAAGCAGGAAAAATTTCTGATGGCATCTAAAAAACTGGAGTGTAACTACTAGTAAAACAAGTACGTTGCCCAACTCTAATTATAGCCACTAATTTTAGTGATAATCCAGAGGTTTCAGCTGTATTTGCTTGGAGCAGACCCTTTGTCTTAAGTATTGTTCACAGGACAAGCCATACAGATACAGAATGACCACCAAGTCATTCATGGAATAGAATGACAGAAGTGCCGGATATTTCTGAAAGCTGTTTGCAGGATCATTTCTGCATACAAAAATATAAAACTTCAGAGTGTAACTAATGAATATGGTTAGGAATTTTTTGTAAACATTTCCTATAAAACATAAAGAATAATAACGGCTAACACGCTCGGGTACTAAACAAGATTAGTAAGTTATTACATAAAAATGATCTCTAAAGCAAAATTCAGTGCATGTGAACCAGTAAACGACCACCTAAACATGAAAAATCTATCTTAAATGTGACAACATCCAAAAGCAATGGATAGACACTGTATTAAATTGGAAAAAGAAAAAAGAGGGGGGAAAAAAAAAAAAGGAAAAAGAAAAAAGGAAAAATAAGCCTGTTTGCCCAAGTGGTATTTTGTTCATCTTGCTTAGTATTAATCTTAAAGACAGTCATACACAGTAATGCTGTGTTGTGGTTTTGCTTTAAATGCTGTAACTGTAGACATTTTTGCAGCTTCCTGGAACCAAAACTATGAACTTGCGAATTGTATTTTCAAAAGGCAGTTTAAAACCAGTATTTTAAAAATTAGAACCACCTTAATATGGAACTATATTGCTGCAGTATTGTTTGACCTTTTACAACTACATCCTAGGCCAAAGGTAAGGATACGATCCGTACCAGGAAATAAAACACCACCTTTGATCATTTCTCCCATGATGCACCCAACTGACCAAATGTCAACTGAAAACAAAATGCAATGATATTAACATAAAAGATAGTTATTAAAATAAAGTAAATAAAAAATATCTAGACACACACACATGAAGTGACTATAAAAAGCATGTGTAATGAAAATGAGTGAAGGTGAATGTATGCTAACTACAGGACCAGCAGAGACTATGTCCTACTGCTAGGTGCAGCCTGAATATAAATGAAGTTCTTAACAATTTTTTTTTAAGTGTATCACAAGAAAAATCCATGTTCATTTAATAAAAAAAAATTGTACAATATGCATTGTCATGACACAACATCAATAAAAAGGTTAATCGCTTCCTAACTAATTCAACCTGCTGCAGCAGCACAAGGATACAGTCCCTTCCTGGAAAGAGGATTTTGTGGCAAACCATTTCGCCCATAATGCACCCCACAGACCATAAATCCACTATGTTTGTAGCACAAAAAGAAGGAAAAGCAAAGCAAACGGTCATTTAAAATTAAAAGAAGCATAACATGACTGCAGCCTATAAACTGCAGAGACAGCACAGGAAGAAGAGCAAATCTTTATATTAATCAATGAAAACACTTTAAAAAACACCATAGATAAGGATTAGCTTTTAACTGTCTCAAATACAAGGCAGAAAAACATCCTTTTGTTTAACACAGTGCTAGAGCAGAGAGAGAGAGACAGACAGACACGAATCACGCAGAGTAAAGCCCTTCTCCAAGCTCTGAGGCTTGCAAAGCTACCTCTGCCAACAGACTAGACTGGAGCACCAAAGGTGATTAATTTGGTGCTTAATTTTAAAAGTAGCAAAGTAAACTGACCTTTAAAAATACTGTGTATCTAAACAGGTTATACTTTCAGGGGGAGAATTAATTGGTTATTACATAGGAGTTAAAGTATTATCAAGTATTTCCTAAAAGTCAGATTACCATGCATCTCTCTCTCTCCTTTAAATAAAAAGCAAACACAATCAGTAAAAGACCACTTAGAATTTTAGAGGATCAGTTAATGACAATGTTAGTATGCTCCTAAAAGTTGTTCAGTTAAAATCATTTGTTTAAAAATATTTCTCCAGTTATGCTGAAATAACATCTTATATGAAAGGAAAACTCAACAGCAATTTTTGGGGGTATGAAATACACATTTTCTCCATTACCTTAAAATAAATCACTCTGAAGACATACTCAAAGATACACAGTTCTCTTTTTACAGGTATGTCCATTTCTTTTGTGGCTGCTTTCAGAGATACTGTTAATTCTGTATGCAAAAGTTTTCTTGAAGTCGTAATAATGAATTTGTATTTTTATTAATACTTTTATGTCAAACATGACACTGGAATTTCAATTAAGCAGATAAGAAGCAGATTTAAGTGAGAACAATTGTATACGAAAAATGACATGTAGAAGTTCTGAAGGAGCTCAACAATGTCAAGCAAACAACGTTGCTTCTTATTGAAAATATTCCTTCCCCCTTATTTACAAGTTCCTCTAAAATAGTATCTAAACCATATGATAGAAGATCATAGTTGTACATATTAATAGGTCAAAATTAAGGGCCTGGTTCATTTAAAAAATGATTGTTGACATTTTATGACTAGTAGTGTTTTTTTCTTTAAAACCTCTTTTCAAATACTTAAGAAAAGTACATATTCTGTGGCTTAGAGACCCAAAGATTTGAAGCCAAGTTTTGCATTTGACTTTTTAAATAAAATTGTGAATGTTGACTTTTTCACCTGCAAAACAATCTGCTGTCACCACAAACCAAAATATACCCAAATCTATTGTAATTAGTTTGTGTCCAACATGATAAAAACGACGCCCATAATTGCATGGAGAAGTCTGGGAAGAGAAATAACATGAGTCAATGACTTATCTTCATGCCTCAGAAGACAAATTACTTCAGAGGCGAAGAAAAACATTGGAAACCATTCCTCTGGTCACCCTACAAAAGCAAACTTAGGATGTTTGGGGGTGTTTTGGTTTGCTGCTTTGATTAATTAAACAAAACGTGTCTTTTTATAGGTCTCTAATTTTCTTAGCTAGACTAACTCGTACACTGAGGACTGCTACTGTGAATACTTCTATATAAGACTGAGTAAAGTCTTATTACAGATTTGAAAAATCTTTTTAAAAATCTACTGCTTGTCATACAGAATGTATTTTATTCTTAAAAACCCTTTTTGGAGAGAACTTACTATTTTCTATAATTCTAAGAGAAAAAATACCAAGAGAAACTGAAGTTCAAGCCCAGTGTACATACAAAGAGTAGTTTCAGAGGCTTTGGGGCTTTCCTTGCTTTTCAGTGCTTCCTTCCTGATAACCACACACAAAACTGCACATAAATCTAAACAAGGTACGTGTGCACGAACAGTTTTGGTGTCCTTCAGTTTTGAATTTCTTGAGTTTCCAAGGCCTGGTTTCTTAATGTAATATACCCAAATGTTCTTTACCTCCTTCAGTATCAACACCTACATAGAAGTTAACCCTATCATCAGTTTGTTTGGGATCTTTGCTAGTTTTAAAACAATTAAAGATTTCATATGTGTGTAGTATAGCACCAAAAGAACGCTACTCTGCAGTATGTAACTTGGTCATCAAAACATATATTGCAATCCTTCCACGTAATTTAAAATGGCATAAAGCTGCCAGATGACCCTGTTCAATTAAACTAAATGTTAACCACTAGTTAGCTGCCATTTTTTAATATTTAACTCTAAATTAAAGAAGTTCACTTTTAATTTAACTATGGGTTTAAAGGGATAAAATAGGCACCAATGCTAACAGGTGAGGACCCTGGACAGCCCATGGCTCTTACTGTAAGTACATCCTTTATACCTGCCTCCCTGTCAGGGGAGCTCCACAGTGAGGAACTCATCAGGCAGCAACTGGGAAGAGAAACAGTTTATGTAAATAGCCTTTTAATGACAACAGTACATATAGAAATGCAGATTGTCTTCTGACTCAGCCAACAGATTAACTTTTACATTCTCAACTTAACGACCATGTATTTGGCTTTCGAGAAGACGTGATAGTTTTTCATATGAAAGTAAATTTTTATTTATATTCTGCTGCACAACACGATTTACACTTGCTTAAGGAACAGGATTGTCACTAGCATGACAAGGTGCACTAGAACACAATCTATTTAACTCCAGTAAAAACCTAAGCAACATTTTAGTGGAAAGAATGTTTCACACCTGAAACTCAAAATTACTTACTACTTAAGAGAAAAACGTAAACTGGGCAAGCTAATTCAGAAAACTTGTGATTTCCATTGTATCAATTCTTTCTGTAAGGCAGCTGCCTGACTCAGACTACAGCTTTAGGTTCTTTTATCTAGGGTCTCTTAACTGCCCAAAGTAAATTCTTGGGGAATAAAAAAAACCAGACAAACTTAAATACATGCTTTCTACAAAACTTTAGCAGTTAAAAAAATAACTAAGCTTGCTCCACTCAACCTCTGACTTCTAAAGTGCATGAAAAGTAGCCAACTATAGAGGCCATTTGAAGGAAGGTACATCCTCTCATGCTCACTAATGATCCAAACAGAAATAAAAACCACAGCCTTGCAAAAAAGATCTATTCTCATTTACTTGAGCTGGCTTCTTTCATTGTCAACACAGATAGAAGTTATTCTTCTTGGCTTTTATAAACAACAATAAAATCAACTCTCTACCATTTACACACAGCAGCTATTGTTTACAGACAACCTGGAGCACTTGCCATAATGGTACGCAGTTGCCAGGGAAGTCTGCAGACCATATTAAGAATCCTGAAAAGCTGAGCAAGCCCCAGTTGTGTCAGTAACCTGAGGAGCCATGCCTCACATCGCCAGGAGACAGCTACCAAAGCCTCAAGCATCGCAGCATCTCATGGGCCGTACTGGAGGACTAATCAATAGAAGGTTTAAAATACCTTCAGCAGCAGTGACCTCTGTGCACTGTGCCTGCCTGAGGTGGAAACACCAAGTGAGCTGAACTGACCACAGTGACAGCAGATCAATGAAACGGCAGCAGAGCTGGGGCCACTACAACAGAATTTCAGGATTGACACATTACTTTCTTTGGTTTCCTAAAGGATACTAGCTGTTTCATTCAGAAGATGCAATGTACTTGATCATGTGTTTCCCTCAAACGCTGCGTCCCTTCCTTATTTCCTTGTAGAAGATTGAGAGAAGAAGGGCCACAGAGTGAGTATGAAGAGGAGGGAAATGTATGCAAGCAGAGGGACAAAGTAAACAAACTTCCTTGGAATTCGTCAGAGACCTCAGAGAATCTATGATGCTTCATGACAGTACTCTGCGTTCTTGTAGTAGCCTTTAAGTTCCCTATATCCTGAAAGGCTATATTGAATGTAGTTATTTAAACATTAAATTTAGGACACATGTTTACTGATGAATTACAACATACACCCTCATCAGGATTAAAGTCAGGTGAAGGTATATCAAAGTACATACCACGTATTAAGAAAACATACTTCCAGTTCTTCCTGGATGAAACTTAACCTACCAAGCAAGTTATTTAAATTTTTAAACAAACAAGGCCCTCAATTTCTCCTCCTATTAAATGCAAACATTTCTAATGGATTGGGTTGAATAAACAAATTGGTGTATCCAGAATCTGCATTTTGGTCACAAGGCTAATTTATAAAATTTCTACAGCTTGAAAAAAACATTAACATGTAAAATGTGGTGTGCCAAACAAAAAATAAAGCTATGCCAAAGAAAGACTATATTTGCTGACCGTTTTCTTTGTATCCCATCCCTAGGATGACCTCTGGTGCTCTGTAGTAACGAGTCACTACATAAGGCGTCATCATAAAACTAGTTCCTGCAGTTCTGGCCAGTCCAAAGTCAAGAATCTTCAAAGTGCAGTCTGACTTTACTACTATATTACTGGGCTTTAAATCCTTTAAAAAGAAACATCATATATGACTGCTAAGACAAGTACAAAGTACTCTGTGGTTCACATTTTTAAAAGATAATACTGCTAACACAAAACCCCACATATACAACCAGGTTATTGCTATAACTGCAGTGTCTTTCCCCCTTGCATTAACTCACGTGCATTCAACAGACTACAAAATTAATGCCCTTATTGTGCTTGTAGATTTATATAGCAATTAAAGAAGGAAAATACAACCAGCGTTACAAGATATGTTAGCAATGTCTGAAATAAATTGAGGTTAGTAAGAAATGTTAGCTCTGAGAAAAGGTCTAGACACTGCTCACTGGAACAACAGTTATTACTACAATGCAGAACACAAGTAACATGGCAATTGCTTAAATAATTTGCTGCAGTAATCATCTTAATACAAGAATTATTAAAATTATAATATGAATGTAAAAACGTTTCTTTGCTAGCTGAGGCTGCATTACCTCTTTTAAACCAATGCAGACATTTCTCTGAACAGGAAGGAAATCCCCATGCTCACACAGATTTAGTTTCCCATTTAGGATTTGGTTTTACACTAATTTTGGCGACCAAACCCAAAAGGGCACCATTGAAAAACTGCCAGAAATTAACACAATCATTAAATTGGAGTGGAAAATGCCCTGATACAGCTTCAGATCATCTTAATTAGAAACTTGGTAACTATTCTCTTCACTTGAACCCTAAAACCACATTGACAATAGTGACTTTACAACATCTGTTTGCACAGACACTACACAGGCATACTCTGTCATTATCTCAGGAGGATCTTACAGACATCTGAATGTCACAGAGCAAATATTACAAGTATTATAAACAAATATTACAAACAAAGAGTAACTTCAGAATAACCTTACCATCATAAAATCATCATAGCACACAGGCCGACACAGGTAAAGCTTGAATCCTTTCTGCCTACACCCTACTAAGATTAATGAGAGAAAAACCCGAGATGCGGCAGAGGACTCCAGCATCTGAACTGCAGGCATTTGATAAGGAGCCCTATCTTTCACTGTTTCATAAAGACTTAAAAGTGGCTATCTGCAAGGTAATATGTACTTTTGTTCTCATTTGTACTTGTATGGCTTTCAGCAAACTCCTCAGAAAGCTAAGAAAGCTGCATTAAAGACAGAGAGGAAACCAGAAAAAAGAGTTCCAGAACAATAGAATTTTAATGGATAATTAAAAGTCTTGCATACCTACATATTCACACATACACTTCCACATCACACAAAGATCCTGCGGACAACTTTGGCTTAAAAGATTCCCAAACGCCACAAATTCAAGTATGATAAGGCATTCCAGCTATTTAATATGCCTGATTCAGATTCTGCTGCAATCCTGTTTATTATCAGCTTTATTTTTGCACACTTTATTTTCTGGAGGATGCTCATAGTATTAACTATACTCATCCTCCCCAGAGCTGCAGGATTAACACTGAAAATGTTAAGAAATCTTCCCTTTGCAAGAGAAAAATCATGAGGACAAAACCCAAAAGCTTACAGAGTACTGTCCATCCTTAATTTCTGAACATTATATAGTTGTCATGAAGCCTAGGAACACATTGTAATTTGGAATACAGAACTGTCCTTCAAAATGATGGAGGTCAGAGTTGACTTACTCTGCATCCAAATTTATGCAGAACCAATACCTCTTACGTTTTAAATAAACAAGGACTCAAAAGCTCCTGTAAGAGTGATCAAGCTAGTTAGGCTGTATAAATATATCCAGAACCCATAGCAGAAGATATCTCGCCTAATCTTAAAAATGCAAAATGTCAGTGCCTAAAAATCAGAGATTATTCATGGACCTCTCCCCATTAAGCCGACAGGGAGAGAGCAGCATCTCTGGTGGGTAACTGACAGGACGGCTTCTATGGGCTTTTCCCTTTCTAAAGGTAGAGTTGTGTGAAGGGCTTCCACAATTAGGCACTTTTGTTAAGTGCTCAAAATCAGGCAGAATACAATGTTTCAGAGCCTCCATGCAAGACTAACGAGACACTTTGTGTCCTTCAGCAAGTCAGTGAGGCACAACTCTGTAACATCATTCATCCTCCTCAGACTGCAAAATATAAATGAACGTGTACTTCTACACTTGCTGGAAACTCCATCTCTGCAAAATGTTTTGAACACAGTGATGTTCACTTGCCAACATCTGTTAAAGCCGCTGTAAAGCTATAGTCAAATCTTTACCAAGATCAAATCTTCATCCACAGATGTGGCAGCTAAGTATGCCCCCTACGACTTCTAAATGAAATTGTCTGAAACTTTGTGTTCGGTCTTGGCCTGGTTCTGGGCCTCTAGTTTGCTATGAAAAACCCACTTATTTCTATGGCAGGTAGTATCCAGTGCTACAGGCACATATACACACTGTTGTAATTTCAGTCATTCAGCAAGCTTTGAGAAAGTTACTGAGATGCTGAGATTATCGCAGCTGTGTTAGAAGGCAAAGAATCCAGTTAAAAACCATGTGAAATGACCAACACAAAAAAAAAAGCTTAAAGCTTCAGAGGACACTAAGGTAGTACACTAGATTCATAGCCAGAATGCTCCACGGGCAGCCAAAGTAGTGCAGACTATGTTTAAGAAGTAACTAGTTTCAACAAAGTAATTAGCTTTAGACATTAAGGACAGTGGTGCTAAAAGCCCCGAAGAGCTGTATAGAGTTACTATTGCAGCCACATGGTCCATATGAAATATGTCCCTTTTCAAGCATGCCCTCCTTGTCTTCTGAGGTTTTGTTTAACTTGTTCCACAGAGAAACAGAATTTTGATACTTTACACCTTGAAGTATAAAGGCATAACACACACAGCAGGTAAGTAAAGCAAACGTTTTGCCTGAACATACTTAATCTTCTAACAAAGTCTGAGAAGAAGCTGTCAGCTGAAAATCTAGCATGAAGACATGCAAGTGAAATGTATCTGCATGTCCTTCAAAAGCATTCATGCATACACATGTTACTATTTACATAGTAATTGTATCTATAGTCTCTTTGGAATAGGTTATCCCTCTACTTCATATTACTGCACAATATGAAGCATTTCAAAGACTTCACCCATATTTACAGAGGCAGGAATTCTACCCTCAAAGCTGTTTTTACTCCTGCCCAAAAACTACCTGAGTAGTTACTTCTTTTCTATAAATGTATGAATGTTTACATTTATCCATGGCTTCTATGGGCTCAATGGTTTGATGCCTGCTTTATAGGAGCGCAAACCGACCTTGAAGCAAGTGAAGTTTTAGAAGCTCCCTTCTGCCTGCGCTATGATCCACAGAAAGAGACACTCTTACATTACCTACTCTAGCATGTCCATACAATACGCAGTTTTCCAAAAATAAAACCCCACAGCATTAAACTTGCATACCTAAATACTGACAAGACCAGAAAATGTGAAGCGTAATACAAAACCATTATTTCAATCCTGCAGGCGCATGCATTAGGACACAAACGGCTGCGTAATATCAGTCATATGCAATATAATGCCACAACTGTGGCAAGTGAAGTATCCTAGTTTTGCCTAGCATTCCCAGAATAATGCAAAAAGCCCACCGACCTGTCTCAATGCCCACATGCAGACCAAGAAGCACAGTGTGCAATGCCTGGTTGCAGGTGATGCTTCTGCCTACCTTCCCTCGCCCATCTCTTTCAAACACAGCAGTTCAGGGCAGAGCGCACGCAAGGAGGAAGCCTTCAACATTCCCTCCCTGAGCTCCGTGCTGGAATGAGGCAGCTGATGAGTACCAGAGCTAGCTGAGCAAAAGGAAGCAGTGTTTGGCCATTTAAAACCATATTGTCTGTTCAAACAATCGTCCTAGTTCCCTTGCGGGTAAAGCAGCATACTGAACAGGAGTGTCATACTGCCAGATCCAGCTTGCAGGCCATTCAACACCCCGGTCACAATGGCTACTGAACTGGACAAGCACCATAACACAGCAATTCCTGTGGTAGCACTCAGAATTGCCATTTGTGATTTATTTTGCTGCGTGCATCATCCGTGAGGAAGACTATGCAGTAATGACTGAAAGTATCACACATGGGTAAGTTTAATTACATCTTCTGCATCATTTCAGAAATGAAAATTTCCAAAACTCTCTAAAAAAATTACAAAGAAAAAATGTAGCACTATAGAAGTACAAGCTTACAATTTCCCCAAACATCAGAGATTATATTTGAAAAGTTGTAACTAGACAATCTTAAGCAATCTTTACACTACATACAAACATATATGAGATGTTCAACTTGATCAGGCAACCTTAAATTCAGAATTTCTCGACTGGATCGCAACACACACGCCATTTAAAAAGCAACAGTCAGTTTTGCCTGTGGGCAGTCTGAGTGAATGCTTTGTGACACACAGGTGTATGAAAGTTTCACTTACAGGTCTTTATCATCATCTGTTTATCTGGATACTTCAGATATTTATTCATTACTCTGCTAGTAAAAGAGCAGAAATAAAATGGGCAGTTCTTTCAAAAGACGGGATTTCAGGTTTGGTTACCAAAACTATAAAGGCAGAGACGCTTTCAGATACTCTTTCCTGCCATGACTACTAAAATAGAGCTAAAATTAGAGGAGGTAATGTAACTCACTGCACAAACCTTTATTTACTCTGTGCAGATTATCATCAAATCATTTAAACATTCAAAAGGTTCATTCCAGAATTACAGTGGAAAAAAGTAAGTGTGATGATTTCCTTCCAGCTTGCTCTCTCTGCCTAGGGGACAGGCTATGGATCACCCTTTGTGCTCCTATTTCTGATTCTTTTCTTTTAAATACTCAAGACAAAACCAGGTGCAATGCAAAATGTACACAGTTAAATTCACTTACCCTATGTATAATTCCAGCTGAATGAAGATGTTTGATACCACACAGCATTTGATAAAGAAGATAAGACATTCGTTCATGGTCTAGCTCCATCTGAATCACTTGGCAGAGATTTGCATCCATGAGCTCCATCACTATGTAGCTTGTGAAGGAAAAAAAAAAAAAAAAAAATCAGATAATACTGCCATTTTATTGTATTCTTTCCCTGTTCGTCTTTCTGCATAAATATTTTTAAAATTAATTCTCAGCTTTAGTTCAGATCAGACTTACACGTCTTGAAATTCTTCCAGGGATTTTTGTGGTGTGAACACATTCAGCAGGCCGATTATCTGTAGGAAGGAGGCGAGGAAGTATAATTACACCACAGCAACAGCAAAGTCACCAAGTCAACATTTCAAAACTGATACCCGATATTCTGATGTAAACCTCCTAGTATACATTGAAGCTCAAGATGCTTAGCAGCTCAACCAGGCCTAACACGCTGTAATAGATGCTAATGATTTTAGGAGGAGTATTTTACCTCTACAAATCACGTAATCTAAAGACGCTCTGTGTGCATTAACAAGATGATATTCAAAGCTTAAAACCTAAGGAAGTTAGTCAATCTTCCCTGCCTCCTACTGTCAGTTTGAAGACAGCTGGTCAAGATTTTTATTGCACGAGGAAAAATAAAATTAAAAACTGACAAAGACTACCTAAGAGATACCACTTTCCCATTGACAGAGGTGAAGCAACAAGTCCACCCAAAGAGAAAAACAGATTCTTGGAGCTGCTTTAGGATATTTCCCAGTTGCTAAGAATGGATGGGATGTGCAGAAACAGGTCAAGCTACTACTCATCAAGAGTCAGGCAGGCTTGCAATAGTTTATCATCATACAAATTACGCTATTAGGTAAAACTTCATTCAGAGAATCCACATATAAACCATCTCTGCTTTAGAAAACATACAAAATTTTCCCAAGTAGCTAAAAGACAGAGTAAGTCTTCTATGACTGTCCCTAGCAGCCAGGGGGAATTTTATCTTGCCAAAAGGGGGATTAAGAGGGAAGGTGAGAAGACGGCACACAGCTGTCTCTGAAGGAAGAAAATGGCCAATACCAGCCCTCTGTAGTCCAACTCTGATAAATTTATCACTTATTCTCCCCATTTCTGTGATCTCATCTACTCTTGAGCTTGTTCAGCATCAGACAGTTCCTGTTGTCACAACACAAAATTTGTTACTCATTCGTGGACCAGGAAAAAAAAAATTAAAAAATTATTACAGCCTTTTTTCCTCTTATTTGTCTAGCAGAAGCAACAGAAACAAGGATGCACTTACCACTCATGGTATTATTTGCCAGCTGCCTGTGAAATGTAGCAATATAACACTAACTCCCTTCCTCAGTTTGAAGCGGGTATTTAAAGATTGGGCAGGTATTAAAACTAGCCAGTAACAGCTCTTCTGAAAGATCCTTCTGTGCTTATCATGGAGACACAGCCATGCAATGAAAATCTCTATAATCTACAGAGGATGCCAACCTCTGAAGTCACTTTTAAGACTTTTACAAAGAACAACCTTCTAATTAATTCTTTAACATTTAAAACAGGATACTGCACTTACATTTTTGTGATTAACACACTTCATAAGAACAAGCTCTCTGTAGGCTCTTTTAGCATGGGTTTGGTTCTGAAATGGTCGGCTTAACTTCTTGATTGCAACATTTCGTTCAAGGATGGCATCATAAGCTGCACTGTAATTAAAAATAACATTATTACATCTCAGTGTCAAGGTCCTTTAAGCTGTGGCAGTTGCTAGCTTTTTCAGATACCTTGTATCATGTCTGCAGATAAACCAAATTTCCAGTATTATTCAGCTTTACAGAGTGTAATAGCAAAGTGTTCTTACATGCTGAGCGATTCAAAATTTAGAAATGTCTCCCAGCTTCATAGTACTAACACATGACAATCTCCACAAAAAGTGCAGGATCTCTCCTTCCTAAAATATCTTACTAAAGATATTGAGCTTTTGCCACTGGCTGGCACTCAAGAACAGACCATCTAAAAAAGATCCAAACCACTTCAAACATAAAAAGCACATCAATTTTATGTAAAATCTTCACACTGAAAGGAAAGGAGAAGGAGAGAGGAAAAGCAGGTTATACAATGGTCCCATGCTTTCACTTATGCAGTTGTTTAACATCCTCAGGACACTAAGAGCTGTCAAGATAAAAAAAAAAATTATAGGAAAGCCTTAACATCTTGATGTGACTGGCTTTTACATGGTAAGAAGGAAAAAACCCATTTTGTTTGCAGACTAATGCGAGACTGTCATATGATTCAGTGACACAGGCTGTTTCACTGACAAAGACTGTTACTGGGGACAACTTCCATAAGTATCACATTTCCACAACAGGAAGGCAGGGATTTTGCTTCCTGTAAGAGGTAATACAACAGCTGACTACCGTGCAGACTCACGGAATAAATATCGGTTACTATGCAGGAAAAAAACCTGTTTTCTTGTCTCTTATCAAGAATGGTACTCAAACCTAATGAAGAACATCTGCCAGTAAATGGTCAGCCTCTAGTAAATCCAATTAGGTACTTTAAAAAGCGCGTTGTCTGTATAGTACATAGGCTTGAATGGTTTTTTTGTTTGTTTTTTAACATTGTCAAAACCTCTAGTCACTATTGAAGAAAGAAAAAAATGGGAACAACATATACCGGTAACTTACTTTGTTTTACCTTTTCCACTATCTGGCATTTCCCCCACCTACCCTCAAAATAAGGAATATCTTACAAAAGAATGCAAAGAGTTGGCCAGGAAAAATTGCCAACATGGGACTCCTGTACCAGTATTTAAACTTCTGCATCCCCAGTACATAACAGCAGCCTTAGAGCCTGTTTCAGTATTAGATATGGTTGAGCCTTTACACCATCTGCTTAATATTCCTCCAAATCAAGTTGGATCAGGTTTTAAAAAAACCAGAAAAAAAAACCCAACCCAAATCACAAGAATTACACCTTATCTCCTCCAGACATGGGCAAGATTTAACCACATGAGCACTCCAGTCCTCAGGGCAGAGTGGTTTAACTAAAAAGGCTTCAGTTAGCACTAGCAGCAGTTACAGAATGACCCTAGAGCAATTGCACGGCCAGTTCTTGGACCACAGCTCTGGGATGGGCAGTAAATTTAGAAAATCAGCAGTAACGTATGACTGGGAATCAGGAGGACAGTGATAACATCTAAAGCTTTTGCAGGCATTTCTGTAGTAACTAAACAGGCTGTAGTCAAACAACTGTCTACATCCTCATTATATTAACACACATGCAAACAAAATTCAGATCAGTTTTTCTGCTGCTGCTCCTTACAGGCCAAATAACCTTAACGCCAAAAGATACCATTTCAAAAACAATTCTTTCTAGAGTACTGGCCTTCGAGTTTTCATTTGCACTAAGCACACTATTTTATTATTAACCCAGCTAAAACACGAATACGAATTAAAAACACACCCGTACCACACGTTCTCTAAACACTGATCAAGACAAGATCAAGGCAGTAAAGAGGTTACAGGGAAAAGTGTTTGAGAAGATCATGCTTTTCTCTACCTTTCTCTTCCTTGATGTTTCTTTTGTATTTTTATGTCCCTGGTTAGCATCTTAAGAGTTATAATAAACTGGAAAGTCTGCAAGTTCCTGTGCTATCTACATCCTTCTCTTGAACATTTAAAAATCTCTCAAGAAGTTTAAACCAACATTTATCTTTGGAGCACTGCCACTGAACAGGAAATAGTGCTTAAAAGCAGCTACCTATCACCAATCT